TGGACGGGGCTTGGAGCAGCCTGGGATAGTCAAGGTGTCCCTGCCCATGGGAGGGGTGGAATGAGATGAACTTTTCAGGTTCTTCTCAATCCAAACCATTCAGGATTCCATGATTCCCATGTGCTCAGTGCCTGACTGTTGCAGGAGTCGGAGATCATCGATTTTTTCCTGGGCTCATCCCTGAAGGATGAGGTGCTCAAGATCATGCCTGTGCAGAAACAGACCCGTGCTGGGCAGCGCACCCGCTTCAAGGTAACCCTGCTTCTCTGCTTCCTCATGGTGAAACCTCCCCTCTGCTCTCTCCTGCATTATATTAGTGTCATTTCAATTGCTCCAAATCCCATTTTCTGTAGTAACCAGTAAATACTTGGCTATAAGAGCAGTTAGTAACTTATGAAGTGTATTAACTTCACAACCTCAGAGATATGTGCAGACATTCCTCGAAGCAGCACTGTCCCAAAAGTGGGACTGTAACACCCTTAAAAGCTCTTTCAACCAAACTATTCTGAGCCTACAAAATTAGGTTATGCTTGCACAGCAGTGTTGGGTTTTCAGGAGAAGTTTTGGGTGTAAAGAGGGAATGCTGTTTGGAAATCATTAGGATTTCTGCCCAGTATGAGGCTGCAGCAGGGAATCGAATCCCTAAGTTCTTTAGCCTTGGCTGGTTTTGACTGAAGGATATGCTCAGAGGGAAAGATGGGTCTCAGGAATGTGAGCTCTGGTGATCAAGGTTTGGGAGTGAGCTGTGAGTTCCTGCTGAGCACACCCATGGATTATTTTTGAGAATCCCAGTGGACTGTGCTGTGCTAAGGGAGCTCCTGCACAGCTGCCATCAAACCTTCTCTTCCAACACAGGCGTTTGTGGCTATCGGGGACTACAACGGGCACGTGGGGCTGGGCGTGAAGTGCTCCAAGGAGGTGGCCACGGCCATCCGGGGGGCCATCATCCTGGCCAAGCTGTCCATTGTGCCCGTGCGCCGCGGCTACTGGGGCAACAAGATCGGGAAGCCGCACACTGTGCCCTGCAAGGTGAGTGTCCCCCCGGGCTGCAGTTCCTGGGGGCTGTGCCGGGGGGTGTCCGGGAGCCTGACCCGCTGTGTCCGTGCAGGTCACCGGGCGCTGCGGCTCCGTCCTGGTGCGCCTGATCCCGGCTCCGCGCGGCACCGGGATCGTGTCCGCCCCCGTGCCCAAGAAGCTGCTGATGATGGCTGGGATTGACGACTGCTACACCTCAGCACGGGGCTGCACTGCCACCCTTGGCAACTTCGGTGAGTGTGGAGTCACTCGGGGCTCTTCTTGTCCCTGATGGGGACAGAAAACCCGCCTTTCCACAGTGTTTTAATCTGTGTTGAATAAAAACTGCCAGCAGGGGAGCACAAGCCAAGGCTTCTGCTGACAGGGCAGGTTCATCCTGTTGCAGGTGATCCTCGAGTTCTGTACAATTACAGAAAGCTGGGGTTTATCCTGTGCTGGTCCTGAATCATCTCCCAATCTGCGCGATTGCACTTGTGTCCCGTAGTGTAATTGTCGTAACTGGAGAGAGAGAGAAACCCAAGTTTTGTGTGTTCACCAGAGAGACCCCGGCCGTGGTCTCCCTGTCCTTGCAAAATCTTACATTTTTGGAGCTGTGGGGTGTTTTTGGGGCTGTGGGTGGGACTGGTGAGCAGGGTCTGCAGGAGTGACGGGCTGTATGTGACACCTCTCTGCAGCCAAAGCCACCTTCGATGCCATCTCCAAAACCTACAGTTACCTGACTCCCGACCTCTGGAAAGAGACTGTCTTCACCAAGTCTCCTTACCAGGTAACAGCATTTTGGCAACTTGCTCAAATCTTACCCTTCCTGCCCCTAAAATTCAGGTTCTTGTACCTAAAAAATGGGTAGTTATAATGAGGTAACTGCCAGGTTAAATGTGGTTTTTAAGCACCTTAGTTTTGATTAATAATTGAAAGTGGGATTCCATGGACAAAGAGTAAAGCTGTGGAATGTTAGATAAGTTGAACTACCCCAGCCCCACCTACACACCTGGTGCAGGGGTTTAAGGGGTGGGAAGTGGTGCTGAGGAACCTCTGAGAGTGGATTGAGGAAATAAAGCACTGTTCATGTACTTTTTGCAGGAGTTCACTGATCATCTGGCCAAGACCCACACGAGAGTGTCCGTGCAGAGGACCCAGGCAGCTGCTGTGGCCACAACTTAAGTGGGTTTTGTACAAGAATAAAGTGATCAGTGAACAAGGAATTGTGGTTGGTGTGATGGGGGGTCGGTGCACGGGGCAGGTGTGGTAAACCATAGAATGGTTTGGGTTGGGAAGGACCTGAAAGCTCATCCCGTTCCACCCCCTGCCATGGCAGGGACACCTTCCACTGTCCCAGGTTGCTCCAAGCCCTGTCCAGCCTGGCCTTGGACACTGCCAGGGGCACATCACCTTTACCCAGACTGAGGGAATTCTCAGCCAGGGCTGTGCAGAGCAGCACAGTGTTTCTGGTGGCTTATGGAGGAGAAGGAGAGGTCCAGAGGGCAAATCCCAGTTCTGGCAGCCTGGGGTGCCTAAGTTTAGGGCTTTGCAAGAGCTCTTCAAAGAATGAATCCAGATCCCAATTGTAGAGATGCCTGGGCTGCACGTTTATTGTGGAGGCACCAGAGGTCAAGGATGCCACATGCACTTGGGTTCCAGCACCATGGAGTGAGGGGGAACCGTTTCAGCTCTACTCAGATGCCTTTGCTTGTGCTGCTTTCCTCTCCTCCATCATCCTGTGCTTCTGCTTCATCAGGCACGTCCGTGCATTCCCATGGTAACCCAGATCACCATCTAGAAAGACAGGAAATGTCTGAGCAGTGCATCCCATAAGCCTGTGTTCCATGTGAAGTCTGGGATGTGTGAAACCCCCTTTCCTGGGTTTGAGACTCCTTTCCCTGAGTTTCAGACCCCCGTTCCCTGTATGCTGTTCCCATACTCACATCTGTCCTGGTAGGCCTTGGTGACCTGTTTCAGCAGCTCCACCTCCTTGGCACAGTTCTGGAACTGGTTGGGTCCTTCCCTCTGCTTGCACGCACCCAGCCTTTCCCGGACTATCTCCACGATTTCCTGATCAACCATCCTGCAGGAAAGGTGGCAATGAGTGTAACAGCAGCCAAGAGATGACAGAAAAGCTGAACCAAGAGGTGAGGATACCCTGTGGAATGTCAGCATTGGGTTTTTAAGGATCATGGTCCCTTATGCCACCCTGCCCAGGGACAGCAGGATTGTGAGGTGGGTAATGTGTAATGGAGTGGGCAAGAGATGCTGCAGCTCCCAGGGCTGAGTGCCCAGAGCTGTGACCTCGCCTGGGGACAGCCGTACCTGTCCCTCCTCCACTGACACTCAGCCTCGAAGAAGCACAGGTAGTCGCCCTCCAGGCACTCGCTCAGGTCGGGCACGCGGCGGAACTTCTGGTGATAGTAATAGGTCTTGTTCTTGGCTTGCTGCTGCTCGATCCACTCTGGGGGGACAGCCTGGTCAGACACTCCAGCCCCAGATTCTGAGGGGCAGCACAGCCCCAGCACCTGCCCCAGCCTGGTGTTGCCTTTTTGGGCATGTCTGCATCCAGCTCATGTGCCCACCTGTGTGTCCCTCTGTCTGTGCCGTGTCCCACGTCCCTGTGTGTCCTGTCCATGCTGTGGTCTTGTCTGTGTCCCTGTGTCCCCATGTCCCTGCACTTCTCCCACTGTCCATACTGAGTCCTATACCCCTGCGTCCCAGTGTCCCTGCTGTCCCCGGTGCTGCCCCTTCCCTCTGCCCCTGCTGTGTTACTGCCTGTGCCCGTGTCCCTGTGCCCTTGTGGGTCCCATCTCCCTGTCCCTGTGCCCGTGCCCTCACGCCTGTGCCCCGGTGTGCCCGTCCCGGTGTCCCCGTCCCCACGCCGCAGCCCAGCTCCCGCGGGGGGCTGTCCCGCCCCGCCGGTACCTCGGACGAAGGTGACGGGCGCGTCAATGACATAGGTGAAGAAGGTCTGCACGAAGGTGAGGGGGTTGGGCGCCGATGTGGTCCTATCGGCGACGGGGGTGCGGGTCGGCGGCACCTTGTACGCCTCCCAGTCGTGGTCCTCCGGCATCGCGGCGGCGGCAGCGGGGGCAGCGGGGACGGGAGAAGATGGCGGCGGCCCTGAGGCGGCGGGATCGGCGGCGGGGAGGGGGGGGGGGCGGGAAAGGCGGCGGCCCAGAGGGGGCGGGAGCGCGGGAAGATGGCGGCGGCCCCGGGGCGCGCTGGGAGCTGTAGTCCGTGTGTCCCTCCTGCCTCACGGGATCCCAAAATCCCGGGATGGGCCGATTTGGAAGGGACCGCAGTGTGTCCCGTCTGGTCCCACCTCCCTGCTCCGGCAGGGTCACCCCAGAGCACAGGGAGCAGCATTGTGTCCAGGCGGTTCTGGAATATCTCTGGAATGCGCCCCAGGATTGTCCACACAGCACAGCCAGACTGTCCTCAGTGGGACTCCTGATGACCCCAGGATGCATGGCATCCCTGTGAGGGTGGGCAGGCCCTGGGCAGGCCCTGGCACAAGTTGCCCAGAGAAGCTGTGGCTGCCCCATCCCTGGAAGTGTCCAAGGCCAGGTTGGACGGGGCTTGGAGCAACCTGGGCCAGTGGAAGGTGTCCCTGCCCATGGCAGGGGGTGGAATGGGATGACCTTTAAGGTCCCTTCCAACTCAAACCATTCTGTGATTCCAAGTTCTATTGCCTCAATCTCTTTTCCAGTCACAATCACAAAGCCTTTCTTGCCTGGGCTGGTGGAGGGATTTTCAGTCTGAGCTGGGGGTGCCTGGAGCAGATGTTCACAGCTGTGGGTGTCCAGTACCCGGGAGGAAACTGGCCTGATTCCTGCCATTCACGTTCGAGCTGTTCAGGAGGGAGAAATGTAAACTGAGACAGCAGCAATTGACCTTTATCACTCCACAACTGTCATGTCCAACCTGCCAGCTTGGCCAGGAATGAAATGAATATCGCAGTGGGTGAAGCGAGCGGCTAAATTTGTGTCTTCAGACCGATAACCATCTTAAGTATTAATCTGGGGAGGCACTTACTGACAGCCTCTTTCTGCTGCTGCCCCGGGCTGAAGACGTCCCATGGTCGGTACAGCTCTGCTGCTGTTGCTTTTGTGCAGAGCAGGGCTGGGTTATGGTCATGGAAGTGCTGCTGGAATGGGGTCAAACTCTTGGTAGTTCCACTTAGGCTGGAAAATAAGCTTGGTAGAAAGCGCAGCCAGGTGCTAGGACTGATCTTAGCAAGGAGGGAGCTGCAGTGGGTGCAGGACTAACCCTTTGCTGCTTGGGCTGCCCCCCAATTCCCTGCCCTGAAACCAGTTGTGTGAGAACTTGTCTGTGCTGCTTTCTCTCTGCATGACCTTGTGATTGGGGTTTATAGATTTGCCTCTTCTAATTTGTTTTTCAAGGTGCATTTTGAACCTGTACATGTTCCTGTTATCAATTCCTTTGGGCATCCTTTCCCATTTTTTTCTAATCCTTGGTTGTGCTTGTTTGGTGCCATTTGCCTTCATGACATAATGCCCAGGAATGCCAGGCAGGCCCTTTTGGTGCTGCAGGATACAAAATAAGTCATTCTAATTAAGAGCACAGAAGGACAGGCCTAATAAGGAATATATTTCTCCTTCAAAACCCTCAAGCAAAGCAGAAGGAGAGAGATCATGTTAAATTTTTTTATTTAATTGGCAGAATTTGTTCAGAAACTTAGTAAATTCAAACTGAGTAAGTTCAGATTAGATATTGGGAAGAAATCCTTCCCTGTGAGAGTGGTGAGGCCCTGGCACAGGTTGCCCAGAGAAGCTGTGGCTGCCCCTGGATCCCTGGAAGTGTCCAATGCCAGTTGGACAGGGCTCGGAGCAGCCTGGTCCAGTGGAAGGAGTCAGGGTTGGAACTGGATGAGCTTTAGTGTCCCTTCCAACCCAAACCATTCCACGACTCTACAAAATTCTTCCATGCACACGATGGAAGCTTGAACAAAATCCCATCCTGTTATGAGTTTTCGGAATGGGAAAATGCTGGAATCCAGGAAGAGCCCAGAATCTCTGCAGCATTCCCATGTTAAAGGGGAGGGTTTTTGTTGTCTTTCCCGTTGTCTCATTTTCTGGGACCCGAGGGTGAAGCTGCCCTTTGCTGTTCCTCCCCGCAGTCCCACCGCAAGTTCTCTGCTCCCAGGCACGGCCACCTGGGCTTCCTCCCCCACAAGAGGAGCCGCCGGCACCGCGGGAAGGTGAAGGCATGGCCCAAGGATGATCCCAGCAAACCAGTCCACCTGACAGCTTTCCTGGGCTACAAGGCTGGAATGACACACACTGTGCGGGAGGTGCACAGGCCTGGGCTCAGTAAGGCTTGGCTGGAGGAGGCAGGAGCCACATCCAGGAGGGAATAGAGGGAACCCTTGTTGGTGGGAATCTCCTGGGAAAGGGGTGGTGGAGAACACAGCTTCAAGGTTATGTCCTGGATACTCAAATCCTGGATGGTCAAAAGCCACCTCAGCATGAGCTGAGTGGTGGGGGGCAGTCCTGGAAATGCCCACACTGGGATGGTGAGGGTTGGTCTGGGAGATGGGAAGGCTGGGACTGGCTGGGAGACCAAACATCACCTTGACCCCTGTGCTCACTGTGACAGCCTGCCCACAAATCCCCAAGGGAATGCCCTGATCCCAGATGGTGCTGAGCACCACTTCCCTTTGCTGCCTTGCAGAGGTCTCCAAGCGGGAGGAGGTGGAGGCCGTGACCATCATTGAGACCCCCCCGATGGTGGTGGTGGGGGTCGTGGGCTACATCGAAACACCCAAGGGCCTGAGGAACTTCAAGACTGTCTTTGCTGAGCACATCAGCGACGAGTGTCGGCGGCGCTTCTACAAGAACTGGTACCTGCTCCCAGCAAGGGTCATCAACACGGGAAGGGGCTGCCCAGGGAGGTGGGGGAGTCCCCATCCCTGGAACGTGGCACTCAGTGCTCTGGGCTGGGGGACAAGGTGGAGGTCGGTCACAGGTTGGACTCAGTGGTCTTGGAGGGTTTTTCCAACCTCAGTGATTCTGGGATTCCCAGACCTGGGGTGTTCCTGGGGGCCTGCATGCAAGGGGTCCCTTTCAGGATTTCCACAGGCTCAGCTCCTGGTGGAGTGGAACTGCTGCTTATTTAGTCATGCACAGAGACACTGCAAACAGCTTGGTGCTGGGGATCAGCATATGTGTATGTAAATTTATTCTAATAGTCAGAC